TCACAGCTGTAGCATCGAACAACCTCTTGAACTTGTGACATGTCTTATTAAATCTGAAATAATTGTCATCTGAACCAAGAATTAAGAATATATTATTAAGGTACTGAATAGAAAGACTTAAAATACAGATTCGAAATAAAATGAAATAAAAAATATTTTTAATTGACCATTTTTCACCAGTTAAAATACAATGCATTTAATGTAATGCTAAGCGTAGTAATTCAAGAATATTAAGGGTTCTAGTGCTCCTAGAAAAAAGATCTTCATTCTAAACTGATTTTCGAGAATATCTTCAAGATAATGCATCCAAAAAAAAGGTTATCCGATACATAAAATAGAGTTTAAAATCTACTTAAAAGAGGAGAACATTGAATATGTGGTGAGCAGGTGAGAAGCCGCAAAGAAAGAAATACAATAGGAAAGGAACGAAGTGTCTAAGGGAAATTAAGAAAGGTTTTTGAGAAAGGTTGTGAAGGAAAGTCACGGGGGAAGGTTACGGAGAAGTAATGAAGGGAAGTAATGGAGAAAGTAAGTTGGAAGGTAATGGAGGACAGTACTGAAGGAAAGAAATAAAGAAGAATAATTGTGTAAGGTATGAAGATTAGACGGTAAAAGCAACTTTCTCCGGTATTTCTTTTGATTAGACGGTAGCAGCAACTTTCTCCAGTATTTTCTTGTAGTGAGCCTCTAGTTCAGTGAACTGTTTCTCCAGCAGTTCAAGTCTTTGCTCCCTAATCAATCAATTAATCAATAAACAAAATTATCTACAACTGACCAATCAATCAATCAAGCAATCAATCCTTCAATTAATCTACAACTGATCAATCGATCAATCAATCGTTTTTACCAAAGAACAATTGTCATACAAAAATTCATAAGTCCAACATAAACCGATTAATCACCTGTCAGTGATGTTGACCATAGCTGCCGCAAATTCCTCTGGTTTAAGCGCACGCCGGAGTTTCTCCAGCTGACTCTGCTCACGCTGGTATGGGGCATTCAAGCGTCTTTTCACATCAACCCTGATAGAGAGAGTAAAATTCAAATCAAGTCTAGTGAAAAATTCACATAATCCGTGATAAAGATTGTAAACATTCACATTAGCCCTAGTAAAGATAGTAAAAATTCACATTAACCCTAGTAGAGATAATAAAAATTCACATTAACCCTAGTAAAGATAGTAAAAATTCACATCAACCCTAGT